GTTCGTTTTTACCAGCTTCGAATTGTAATCAAACCAAAGCCATCCCTTGGAGCTGGACCTTTGTGCACCCCACAACAGGTATATCCTTGCTCATGCCAAGATAGGGAATTCTTTACTGACTCTGTAGTCTGTACTTCGTATGTCATTGAGCTTTCCCTCTATTGTTTTCCCTTAGTATGTCGTTGAGCTTTCCCTCTGTTGTTTTCCCTTCAGATCTGCTACCATGTCCTAGGGTTGGTTCATGGAATCTGGACCCCTATTCCTCGAACGGTGAGTATTTCTTCGATTACTCTTACATGATTCAGCTTAAGCAGTATAAGTTATTTGTAAATTTAAAAATACGTGTTTATCTGTTCTGACAGATGAAAGACTATATTGCCACTCCAAAACCTAATGGCTATCAAAGTCTCCATACAACTGTAATTCCTTTCTTGTATGAGAGCATTTTGCGTCTAGAAGTGCAGGTACAATCTCGTCTTCATTTTTTAGCATGCTCATATTTTCCCAAAGTTGATAATAAGGTTTATGCAGAGTTGAAGTCTCTCCTGTATCGATTGGTAATCTTTTAGGAGGTATTAATTTACATCACGGGCTTTCTGTTTTGGCAGATAAGAACAGAAGAGATGGATCTGATAGCTCAGAGAGGAATTGCTTCTCATTATAGTGGGAGAGGATCTGTTACCGGTTTAGTTGGGCGTAGTCTCCCTAATGGTAGAAGTTCAAGAGGGAAGACTGTTTGCCTTAACAATGCAAACATTGCACTCAGGGTATTGTACCTGTATTCATTGCTAATTTATGTTTCATTCTTAGTCCTCGTGGGGATTTCTCCATAAACTCCTTTCATGTCTGCTAATTTCATGGATGAAGTCTCTTGTTTCTTCCAGATTGGCTGGCTCAATGCAATTAGAGAATGGCAAGAAGAATTTGTTGGCAACATGAGCTCTAGAGAATTTGTTGAAACTATCACTAGAGATCTATTAGGCAGTCGTGTGTTTGTCTTTACTCCCAGGGGAGAGGTAAGAATTTGGATTGCTTCATGACTGAGATTGTTATTATTAATTGGGTAAGAAAAAACATAAATTTTCACACGCTAAATAAGTTTGCTTTATTGTATTGATAGATATCTTTATGATATGCAGATAAAAAATCTTCCGAAAGGGGCAACTGTTATTGACTATGCATACATGATACACACTGAAGTTGGCAACAAAATGGTAGCAGCAAAGGTAATTTGCTTACATTGGACTGATCTTCTATTCTTTTTCAATTCTAAATTTATGCTTTCATTGTATGGAATTAAAACTACGATGACTTCATTTTGGTGCAGGTCAATGGAAATCTTGTTTCTCCAATGCATGTACTTGTAAATGCAGAAGTTGTGGAGATAATCACTTATAATGTCAGTATTTGCCATCCATCTTGTATTTCCTTTCTTTAAACGTGTCCAATAAAATGTACAGAACCTTAACGTACACACACACACTCGCGTTATATGATAAAATTGTATGGATTGCTCATTTATACGGACATCTAGAGGAGTTAATATGACATGTTCAGCATTCTGTTATCATATGCTTGTACATTTAGGGATCATAATTTTCTTTTCTTTTTTCTCCAGTCACTTACCGGAAAATCAGCTTTTCAGAGGCATAAACAGTGGTTGCAACATGCAAAAACACGTAGTGCCAGACACAAAATTATGAAAGTATGCCTTGTTGGTTGGAAGATCATTTATTTTTGTTTGTCCTATTTTGCCTTGCTCTAATAATAAACATTTTATTGGGACTGTAGTTCTTAAGGGAGCAAGCAGCCCTGTCTGTTGCTGAAATAACAGCCGATAAAGTACATGACTTCATTGCTGATTCTGAAGAACAGATCGAAGCACAAGAGCTCCCAAGTACCTCCAAAGGATACAAACCTTTATGGGAAAAAATGAAGGGTATTTCAGTGCCAGAACGAAGTTCTATAGATCCCTTTCAAATTACAAATGGAAGCGCCTTGGCTCCCAAGGTGAATGGGAAGCACAACAAGAATGTTCAGCATGTAAGTTTAAAGGCTGCAGGGGAGTCGTTGTCACAAGGGAATGGTGTTGCCAGAATGTTGCAAGCTAACATTCCAATGTGCAAGGAAGCCTTGCCCAGTTTAGAAAGTTGGCAGGCCAGCAAGGTTGCCTCTTGGCATAGTATTGAAGGGCACTCCATACAATGGTTCTGCGTGGTTTCTGTAGATCGAAAAGGTTAGCTTTTTTAATGAATCATTGATAGATTTCCCTTTGTTCTGTCTTGAGATTAAAAACATTAGTGATGCATTTGCTTCTAGTTGAGATCGGGCACTTCTGATTTATTTTTGTTCTTGAGAATCTCAGTGGAGATTTCTTTTTTACTACCCTATACTCTTTTCATTCTACTTGATTTACTTTAGTAATGATTTACAAGGATTCCCGGGACAAATTTTATTCTTCTACTTTACCTTCATAGGTTGAGTCAAGCAGTAGCATGTAGTCTTATTAGTTTCAGTTGATGGATTAAGACGTCGTCTGCATCACTCTAGACCTGTTTTAACTTTAAAACAATAATTTCAGGTATGATGGCTGAGGTTACAACAGCATTGGCAGCTGCAGGCATTACTATTTGTTCTTGTGTGGTGAGTGGTTGGAGCTGGCAGCTATTTGCTTTTTTATATTGATGCGCTCTCTTGTATTTCTTTAACACCCTTACCATCAATGACCAGGCTGAGATTGACGGGGAAAGGAGAATGGCGGTCATGTTATTTCACATTGAAGGAAATGCGGAAAGTTTGGTAATGTCTCTGACATCCATCTCTGAACCCCGTATTTTATCACTTAGTGATTCTTTTTGTGCTAATGTGCGATTTTCTCCCCTCTCCCCTCTCCCCTCTCCCCTCTCAGGTTATTGCATGCTCAAGCATCGATATAATTCTAGGTGTCTTGGGGTGGTCTACAGGTTGCAGCGTACCAAGCTCAAAGGATAATCTGCAATATCTTGAATGCTGAGCCATTCATGGAGCCATTAACGCTCAATCCACTCGGTCGTTGCAGTCGTGGGTATCAAGTTTTGCCTAAAGAAATCTGAGATTGCGTCGTGTTTAATAAGAGATTTTCGTGTAATCAGCTCCGCAGTTTCGATCTATTTGTTGGAACACTCTTGGCCAAATAAGCTGGCAAGAATAAGAACGATCGAGGTCAAAATTCAGGGCGGTGTATATAGGAAAAGGAGTGATACGTAGGCTTAGTAGTGTTAATACACTTTGTAAAGAAAATTGTGAGGAGAGAAACTGTGAAGAAAGCTACACACAGGGTTGTACGAAACTTGCAATACATGTTCTTTTCTGTGATCCTTTAATTGTATCATTACGTCTTCCTATGTTGCGAAGTGCTGGATTTTCCTTTTTTTGGTATAATTCGTAGTTGAAAGGGAACTGCTCCGCGCGGCTCTCTTATGAACTCGGGGGAGAAATTTCGAGTACAATATTTTTTTGGAGTGTCAGTAACAGTTTTGACGTTATCCTGATTTTAGGATTGCCGGAATAGTAGAATACAAATTACGGTCTTTGTGAGAAGTTATTTTCTCAAGAATGAGATCCACTAAGGATCTTTGCGTCCGAAGCTCATAGATTGAGAGTTCTGAACTGTTCAAGAGAGAGCTTAACTGATCAAGAGAGAGATCTAGGCTGTTCAAATTTTTGAATTTTTGTGAAGTGGGCTAGTTGGATGGACTAAAAGGGGTCGTAGAATTGAAATTGAGTGGACCGATTTCTTGATCTGCGTTATCCGGAGTGGATCTCAAATCTATTTTCTCATGCCCCTTTTCTCTCTTTGCACCATTTTGTTTATTTTTTTTCTTTAAATTGAATATATCGAAGAATTATGAACGGACAAAAATAAGCAAGGTGTACAGAAAGCATTTCCTACTCAACTCAACCGTTGAAAGTAGTCTTATTTAGTAGCCACCATTATTGGGGACTGGACTCTGGGTTTGTGGTGATGATGCGAAGGTAAAGGGATAGCTTGATGTTTTTGTTATGGAGGAGGCACCTAGCCCACAATCCGGAATCCATGGAAAAAATCAAAGATAATAATGCATTCTTAGAAAATATCAGCAAATCAGCTACGTTACCTATTTTCGCTTTCACGATTTCTATCTTTGTTTCGTTTCGCTTTTTGTTGTTGTTGTTGGTTCCCATTTCATTTTTTGAGAAAAATATATCTTGTTTTTTCTTGCTCTTCTTTTAAATCCTGGTCTTGTTTCAATTGTAGTTCTTCGGTTGGGTTCGTTCTTTTATTCAAATACATCCGGTTAGCATATGGCTTGATGTTCTTGTCATGGAGGAGGCGATATGAAGCAAGCACAGGACCACTGATTCCATTGTTTGAGTCCGTCGGAACGTTGCAAGACTCCGATGAAGAGAGTTCAAGAAAGGCTTTACACTTGGTGAGCTGCTTCTTGTTTTCAATCTTAGGAGGACACATTGTTGCAAAGAAATAGCCCTTTGCGTCAGTTGCATCACTTACGACGGTGACCGGTGCAGTTTCGAACCCATATTGGTCCACAGCCTCGCATGTTATCCTAGCCGCGGCTCCCGAAATATTAATTCAATGATATTTGAGTAAGAAACTAAGATTGATTGATATTTTAAACTATTCTAATTTATGGAGAGGACAACTGAACACACCTTCGAGCGAGAGGACTTGGCCAGATTTGAGACTTTTAAATTTTTATCGAATAAAGACCGGAAAGTAGAGGTGCAACTCGAATGGGTAGGTTTTGGGAATGGGGTTGGGGTTGAGGCATTGCCCGGAGGAAGCAACTAGAATTTGAAGTAGACCATTTAATATTCATTCTTTGTGAAATGACAAATTTTGTATCAAGAAAGTCGATACGTATTAATAACACGTCGTTAAATGTTACTAGCGACATGTTATCTACTTATATTATTCATACCATATTGACAGTCTGTCCTTAAAATTGAGATTTTGTCCAAAGAAGAATTATCACGAGTTTAAAAAACAACTCTATATAGACCAAAGCATCTTATTACAAATAATCCCAAATGGTAAATCACAAAAACCTCTTGCCAGTAATAATGAAATCAAGCAAATCCAACAACAATAAAGAAACAAATATTTCAGCTCAAATTAGTAAATGGAGAAAATAATTAAAACCTGGCGTTGTTATAATGTCGTGCTTGACTGGTCAGGATCCGAGTATTATGCTTTAATTAATAGCCGTTAGGGACTGATTTAGTTTCCGAGGTGCAAAAGAAAGGCCCAACCGAGTACAACTTGATGTTCTTGGCACTGAGGGCACGATAAGAAGAAAGAAGATGACCAGTAATTCCATGGTTAACGTCAGTAGGGACTTTGCAGGCTTCCAATGGAGAATAATCGAGGAACGCCTTGCACTCTGTGAGCTTCCACTTGTCTTCAAGCTGCGACGGCGATAACGTTGCGAAGAAGTATCCCTTTGCATCAGTTGCACCACTCAGTTTGGAGAAAGGAGCGGTCTCGTAACCTTGTTCATCCTCAGCCAGACATGTAATCCTTACCACAGCTCCTACGTTCCAACCCAATAAAACATACTTAATTTAATTAAAAATAATTGAAAACTATCTGTAAATATATTCAAATTCATGATATAACTCGACGCCCTGGACATATATATCAACCATGTGGTTCAACTATATTACACAGAGTGCAAACATAGTAACATACTACAAAGTTTTAAACCCTAAATTTTGAAAGTTACGTTAAGAGATTCTTATACACAATGTGCACTTGCTAGTCTAAGAACGTAAGATGCATGAAGATTAACGATTCAACATTGAATTAGAGACTACCTTTAATTGGGAAGCTTTGAAGGCCTGATTTGCACAAAACCAGCCCCTGAATACCAATGATCTGAGGTTTTAGCTTTGCATATACTTCTGGTTTCGGTTTTCCGGCGTTCGGTAAGTTCGGAATATCAACCTTTGGAAGTTCTGGATACCCATCAACCTTTGGAAGTTCTGGATACTCATCAACCTTAGGTCTAGGGGCACCGGAGCTATAATCCTTCGCAGAGGCAATGACTAGCAATGAGAAGAGAAGCATGGAGGAGGAGGTGGCAAAGAGGAAACGGGACTTGACAGCCATTGTTTGTTACTGTTGCTGTAAACAATATATGCAGAAGGTGAACTAACAATGGATGATTTGGGAGTTGAAGAGTCACTACCATATCCTTATATAGCAACATGGCCTCAAGTCTATTATTTTTCTTTACTATTTTTAGAACTGTATGTGGGCAGAGAGTGGTTCAAGTTTTAGATATCCAGAATCTGATTAAATGATTAATATTGTGCTGGAGAGAGCTTACATGGATGCACGTTGGCAAAGATAAATACAGTTAGTGCTATTCACACAGCTATTTTGCTTCTCATACATTTTTGTTAAATTTTGTCTAGCATTCATTTGATTAATAGTCAAAAATTAAGAGGGATGTGTGAGAGGTAAAAATGGATGTGTGAATAGCACAATTCTAAATACAATATGTTTAAGCACTGTAGGCCCAGCACTATTCTTTTTGTAAACACACACCACCCAAATGTTATACATGAATTCAAAGCGCTTAAATTGTTGCATGAAAATAATAGGTTTTGTGATGGTTTTTGTAGAAATTCACAAATCCTGTCACATCCCGTCCTGAATTATTTTTATCGGTGATGAAAAGACTAAAGTACCCTTGAACGTTTGTGGTGTTGTGTGGTTTAGGTTTTGGTTGTGGACCAATTAAAATTTTTCCTAAGTGTTTGGACCCAATTAGAAAAGAGATTTTTGTTTGTTTTGGTTGGTAGCCCAAACTGGACCACACACGCACCTAAACTCACGTTGACCTTTCTCTCTCTCTTTCTCCTTTTCTCGGATTTTTCTGAAAGTCCGTACAATTGTACGGACAAACCTCAAACCAGACCATTTCTTCACAGATCGACGTCGATGAGCCTGTTTTCCTGTTCCTTGTGAGCTTAGGAGTCGAATGGTGGTGGTGGTTAGACGTGAAAACCCTAGAAACCTGAGAATCCAAAACTCCCGATTTGGGTCACTGTTCATGCAGTCTTGATCGTGGAATTATCAGTGAGTTTTAAGGTTATAGGAAGCTTTAGGACATCTTCACGAAGCTCGGGGAAGAAAGTTGGAAGTTTGGACGTCGGGAAGTTTAGTTTGACGAGTTTCAATTTTGGCCAGATTATCGAGGTTTCTCCGGCGAGATTCCATGGATTTCAAGGCTTGAAATTGGCAAGGTTTTGTTGTACTCGTTGTAAGCTTCATTTTGGTACAAATTTCATGAATTTTGGTTAAGAAATGAAGAAGATATGAAGTTTTAAATTTTTTTCCAGAAATCGGCGACTGTCTTTGGCGAACCAAGGAAGACGAAGGGAAATATTCCTTCAAGTCTGACGGAATATTCTAACGGCGTCAGGTAACGCCGTTAAATTCTATTAAGGTTTTAACGGAATATTCCAAACGGCAGTTAAGTTTCAGTTATGGTTTAGCCGCGTGTGGGGACACGTCTGGCCGTGCCTTGGCCGGCACGTGGGTGGTCGGAATTTTCTTTTTAAAATATGGGGATATTCGTTGTGTTTAGTAGATCACGTTGGTATATTCAAACACCCCATTTGAGCATTGTATGAGAAGTTAAATCCTAGTTTTGTGTATGTGCCTTAAATAATGTTTATTTAGTTATTTCGCATATAGGTGAGACCTATCCGAAGGACGAGCGCCATCAATCAAGGCTCGGGGGCTACAACCCTTCGACATATCAGTGAGTGGGCTTTTGGTTTTCCGTATATACCTATATACTTGAGATTTTTCCCAAAAAATGAATTTGAATAATTATCCTTTTTGAAATGTCATGCAAAGTATCTGCCTATCTTATTTATGCATTAGTAGTTGCATATATTTATGATTGGTGCTTCAGACGCTTAGGTAAGTGCCAAGTAGGTTCATAAATTAAAGATATGAGGTTGTTTTAGTTATGCGAGATATGATGTGATGCATTGAAAGCTCATAAACCTGCACCTCAGTGTTAGTGTTCCCGCCCAGAGTTAGGGCACAGTCCTTCACGTGATGTCAACTCCCGCACCATATGCTCACCTTAGATCCAAGTTAGGTGCACATGCTTGTCGTACATACCACTTTAGGTGGTTCTGACTAGTAGGTGACCCACGATTATTCGTACAGTCTTCACGTGATCGTAGTACTAGAGCATATTTATTTTATACCTAGTCTTGTCGTACCACTTTAGGTGGTTCCGACTCGTGTGCAAGATTTGATATGATTGAGATTGGTTATGAGCTATAGACTCAGCCGTGTAGGTCACGTTAGGTGGATCCGGCTGATATGATATCTGGCATTGATACATTTAACTGGATTACTTATAACATTTCATTGAAATACTTTGGCATGGTATATTTCTATGAATTTTCATCCTGAGTATGATTTCTGATCTAGCATATATTATTATTTTTCTGGGAAATTATACAGGTGTTACGGTGATGGGTTAGAACTTTTAAGAAATGAAATGATTTTGAAAAGCTTTGTTTTTGCCCACTCACACTTTCTGTTTTGCGCCCCTCCAGGTTTTAGGTAGAAGTGCTTTGGTGACTCACGGGGATTTCGACGGTGGTTCTGACAGAACATCACAAATGTACGATCACCCTTGGGTGTTGTATAATTAGTACTTATTCAGTTGAACTACACTTAAGCCATTCATACTCTGATTATGTATTTCACACTTAATCTTGCACTTACACCTTATCTTAGCTAGTACTTTTAGTAGTTTGGTTTTTATTCACTCGTATTTATCCTTATCATTATTGCTTCCGCACTGTGCACATGGTTACGTCATTCTCACGTGACGGCCAGCATGCCTCGATTTTGGTCGGTGTGTCAAATCCTACTAAAAAAAATCGTGAATATTATTACTATTATCTCGCAATTTTAATGAAAAACGAGTCTGTTGAGTTTCCACAAAATATTATCAGTACGACATTTGATATAGGTGCCTCAGTTTTGAATTCTCTAGATCAAACATTCATAATAATGATTTGATTAAACTTTTTTTGTCATAATTTTTGTGTTATATGCACATTATATTGGAACAAATTTCCTATAATCTAGTCTTTTGATTACATTCTCCTCCGTTAGAGATAATTGTAAAAAAAAAATAAAAAAGTTGGTTAGATTCAATTTATTTTCACAATAATAAATGTTTGCATAACAAAAAAGAAAAAAAAAAGAAAACTGATCAAAAAAAACATATTTGGAAGAAGAGAAAATATGGTTTAATTACTAATATCTCCACTAAATAAAGAAAAGTGCATCATGCAAATAAAATGATAAATTCAAAAATTATTTTAATTTTAAAAAATAGAGGGACTATTGGTCAAAGCACTTTAATCAAATTTTAAAAATGCACAGATGTTTAATCTAAATGATATAGAAAAATTGTAGAAGATTCTAATTTTCCCTAAGAAAAATGTTATAATGCTTTGAAAGCGGTCTTACGGTCTTACCATTTATTAACTCACATAAGTATTTTTTTTACTAAATATATAAGTCAAAAGAATAAAAATTAATAAGACATAATAGTGGGTGCTAAAACCTAGCTAGAACATCTTCAAAATGTCCTACATGAATTTAAGAAGCTTAAGGTTACGCTAAAAAGAAAAAGAATATGTTTTATGTTGAAATTTCCAAAATCAATTAAAACCGTGAGAACGTATTAGCTTAAAATTTAGGGAGTTCTAACGAAAAGCCCACGGTACTGTTCACTTTAACGAAAAACCACATTTTTACACTAAAAAGTCAAACCTGATACTATTCATTTTACCCTTTATTTTGTCCTTATCATTAGAGTAAACTGTCGGTTTACCCCCTGAACTTTCACCTCACTTTCGATTTCTCCCCTAAACTTTTCCATTGGAAAATTAAGGACTCAAACTAATTTTTTTAGCCAATTTGCCCCATACCGTTAGTTTTTCATATATTCCATCCATATTTCCGTTAAGTGAGACCATGTGCACAACATGTGCGGGTAGTTAAGTTATTTCACTCTTAAAAATGATTAAAAAACTGAAAATAATAAAAAAAGCAAAACTTTCCCTCTATTTTTTCCCGCTAATTCCTATCCTTGATTTTATTTTTCCCTCTCATTCCTATGCATGAGAAATGACATATGGTGTTATTGTCTACCATTTTTATTTTCTCTAACAAATTAATAATTTGACAAATGCTAATGGTGCTATTGTCTCCAAAGCAGTGCATTAATATAAGAAACCCTAGTCTTTTTTATGGACATGTTTCTTATATTAATGCACTGCTTTGGAGACAATAACACCATGAGCATTTGTCAAATTATTAATTTGTTAGAGAAAATAAAAATGGTAGTACATGCTTCAAAAAAAAGATTAACTTAGCTACTTATGAAGACAATAACACCATATATTATTTCTCATGCATAGGAATGAGAGAGAAAATTAAAATTGAGGATATGAATTAGCGGGAAAAAATAGAGGGAAAATTATTATTATTATTTATTTTCAGCTTTTAATCATTTTTAAATTGAAATGACTTAACTATCCTCACATGTTATGCACATGATCTCACTTAACGGAAATATGGATGGAATATATGAAAAACTAACGGTAGGGGGCAAATTGGCTAAAAAAATTAGTTTGAGTCCTTAATTTTCCAATAGAAAAGTTCAGGGGGGGAAATCGAAAGTGAGGTGAAAGTTCAGGGGGTAAACCAACAGTTTACCCTTATCATTAAAACTCAAAAATTTCAAATTATTTTCATTAATTTTCCTTAAAATTTAAGTGAATAATGTGATCATTGAGTTTGCGCGCAATAATTTTTAGGGGCATTAACAAAATATTATAAGTCATTTAAGAGCGGTCTTATCATTATTGAATCATATAAATATTTTTCATTGAGTACTTAAGCCAAAAATAGAATAACTAATAAAACATGTTGGTGAGATCCAACATGAATTTTAAAAAGTCGAAAAACAACCTAAAAGTAAATTTTATGATAACTTTTGTGGAATTTTCCTCGGAGGAGGATTGTCTGCCCTCCAAGTTCCCGTGCCCTCCCATGCCCTCCTGATGTGTGGTCACGGTTAAACCACGTTAATATTTTA